ATGACAAAGTTTTACCAAAAGTTTTACCAATAGTAAATTTTTACCAATTGTTACAAATGGGGATGATTTACTGACAAATGTGTAGGCTTTAGTGATGTTTTTACCGGTAGGAAATTTTTTACTTTTTTTACTGAGATCAACAGTTTTAATAGTTTGTTAAAAGCGGAAAAATTCCGGTAAAAATTGTTCTATGAAATTTAACTGTGTATGAATTTTGACCAGTACAAAGATATGAATTTATTACAGAGTTTGTTTCTTTTTACCAGAAACTACCAGTTACCGAATTTAGAATTGCATAAAATTGCGCAGCCCTGGTAGAAATTTATTTCTTACCGTATAAAAATCTAAATATTTCCTCCCTGCAATTTTTAAGAGTGTCCACTTTCTCGGTGCGTTTGGTTGTACAAACTGAGGTGACACTGTAACTCAATTCTTTTCAATTTATTTACACTGTATAAAAAAGCGGTTGTAAAATAAAATCCCATCTGCAAGCCTGCATTCGGCGGTGATGGTGGTGGTCCGATTGTAACTACTTTCTTCACCAAGTGACTGACAGACAGACTTCCGGTGAGTGAGATGGGGGGATAACTACCTACATACGTAAAAATGCAGGGGGACCGTGCGAACTCGATGCCCTTGAAGTTTTTCGCACTCATTCTTGACTTATACCCTCTGGTAACATACATGATTACCGAGTTGGTAACAGTTTTTTTGGACAAAAATTTGTACGTAAGCATATTTTGTGAATGACAAATTTTTAGGTTTTTTGTACACAAAAATTTATGGACATTTTTAGCGACGAATTGAATAATTTTGGGAGTATTGGGTACGAGATTGGTTTTAAGATTGGTGGTCCCTGCAATACGTGGAATTAAGCGGTATGTTTTTAATTGAAAAAATTGTGTAAATTTTGAAATTGTAAAATATATGTGGTTTTTTGTAACTTCTCAAATATTTTTTAAAGGTTTCTCGTGTAGAAATGTGTAGATAATTTGTTTCGGAAATTTATATTTTTTTTTAGTTTTTAAGCAAATTGTTTAAACTTGTCAAAGCATGTTTGTCGACATAAATTGATAACGATTATTTATATCAAAAATTAATAGCGATGTTGTAGAGAAAAAATTGTAAGGATTTTTTATGTAAAAGTTGGTAATGATATTTTTTGTGCAAAAATTGGCAATGGTATTTTGCCAATCAAAAATTGGTAGCGATTTTGTAGAAAAAAAATTGAAGAATTTTTTTTTGCACAAAAACTATTCACAAGATTCAAATATATAAATCCGTTTCGCTTATAAATTGATTCAGAAAAAAATGACGCAAAGTTTAAAAATTACGAAGTTACACAGTTTAAGTAAAATGAATCATTCAATGGATTTTGTTCCAATTTGTATTCATCGATGACACCGCTTTCTGCACGACCCTGACTACTGGACAATGGATACATCATACATCGTAGTTCGGTTGGAGAGAGGGTTTTTTGGCTTGGTCCGATATTTCGGGGTTAAGTCGACTCACCGCCCGGGTTGAGTTGAGAGAGAGAGAGAGGATGACATTCAATTAGCGAGAAGGTGCCATCACCTCGTTTTGCGTATAAAGAGAGAGAGGGGAACGGGCAGCATTGTCTGGAAAATTGTCCAGTTTTGTGGCCCGATCTAAACAGGCTTTTGACACGTTTTCCTTACTCGTTTATTCATCAAATTTATGTATGTATGGACTGACCTGGCTAAATTATTAATTGACATTGAGGCAATTCAGGAAGGTCTTGGTAACATTGTAAAATCCGCAAATTCCGCAAACTTATATACTTTTACAAAATTTTACAAACAAACATTTTTAAGGAAAACTAGCTCCCGAATATATGCTCATCTAATTAATAAGTATGATTTAATTTAATAATTTTAAAATTTTAAATTTGACCTCGAACTAGTGAAACTGGGCAAAATTGTAATTAAATTTTCTGAAACCGATCAAAATGTAAGATTTGTGTCGAATTACATTCTCGGTATAAAAATATGGTGAGTTTTTGAATCGGGTATTTAATTTAGCATTCGTATTTTATCAATTGGTTAGGTTAAATTTCTTGTATCAGATTTCCGGATTTTGCTTATCGGAAATTTATAGAGTATGAGGAGAAAAATAAGAAAAACCCTGTATTTTCTTCGAATTTGAATTTAACTAAAGTTTTCTGAAATTTCCCCCGGGCAAGATTTAAAAAGGTGGAATGTTCCCGAAATTTCTAATATTAAAAATTATTTTATTTTTTTCGGAGGTAAAGAAAAAAACCGGATTTTGTAAAATTTAATTTAACCTTATACATACATACAAGTTTTCCTGAAATTTTACCCGGATAATATAAAAAAGGTGGAATATTCCCGTATGCTGGAAACCGTTTTTTTTCGGAGGTTTTCTTATTAGAAAACCTGAATTTTATTTATTTTGTGTGCATACAACACGTTTTCCTGAAATTTCTCCTCGATAAATACGTATAAAAAAGAGGTGGAATGTTCCCGAATTTTCCTCCATCTCGTATTTTGGAAACTGTTTTTTTCTTCTTTCTTCCGAGGGCAAAGTGATTATCGAGATGGATGCGTAATACATATTTTGTGGGTGTCAATGTTGATTGTGTTGATTGAGGGAGAAACCTTGTCACATCCAATTCTTGGCTGTATCGCAATTATGATTATTACTCCGCCAGCCCCAAAAACTTTCCCCTTTTTTGGACCCATGAGCAACTTTCTTCTTGCTTAGGAGAGGAGAAGGAAGGATCGCAGGATGGGAAATCTTTTACCATCGAGACCACCAACCATGGCATGGCAGAAAAGGGTTACAAACAAACAAATAAACGCCGAATGTGAATGTGAAGGCCAAAAGAGAGGACGATTTTGAGGGTTGGATACCGATGTTATGGTGGAATTTCGAACAAAATGGAGAGGACGAATGAGATTTTGTGTAAAGTGTGCAAAATGAAATATAACGTAAATTTTGTAAATCTGGGATAGATTTGATGGACTTAACTTTTTGGTTTTGCACAAAGTTGGCATGAATGAAAATCGTAAATAAATTGAAATTGGGTTTAAGAGAGAATTAAAATAAGACGCGTTAGAAAAAAGATATTTGGAATTTTTTAGGGCAAGTTTTACGTTGATTATAAATTTTCGGGAAATTTATTATTCAAAGTACTTAGTACAGGTCTTGAACAAGTTTTTTTTTATTCAAAATCACCAAGATCAACACTAGCCACACGGTTTTTATTTATTTTTGGTCTACATTGATTTTGAATTTTCTGGAAATTTACAATACTTTCTGAACATAATATATGACAGATTCCGAACTACTACAAAGTTCGCGTGAATAAAAATACTGAACAAATTGAAATTTAAGGAATGAAAAATGTGGTATAAAAACGGATGAAAGAAATTAAAATTTTTTTAGGACAAGTTATACGTTGGTTTTAAATTTTCTAGAAATTTATTTTTTCTAAGAACTTAATACAGGTGAAATTTTTTACGTGGATTAAGCAAAACATAGTTTTCGAATTTTCGACTTTTAAATTTTTATTGTTTTTTTATTTTTATTTTTATACTTATACTTTGCATGATTGCAAAGCTGGGGTGAATAAAAATCGTAAATAAATTGAGATTGGGCTTAAGCGAGAATTTAAAAAAATGAAATCGTTCGAAAAAACGATTTAGAGAAATTAAGGTCTTCAAGTTTTACGTCGGTTTTAAAGTTTCTGAAAATTTAAACTTTTTTAAGCATTTTACAGATTACGAAAATACCTACCATTCCTTTAACGTCGTATTTATGTCGTACGTACGTTTACACGGATCATTAAAGTCCGTGGAAATTTATGATTTCCGTTTAACAGCTTTTCGACAAGAAAACATTCATTCATTTATTCCCGATTTTTTTTTAATGGGAGGAAATCAAGTCAGTCGTGTTGTGTACTTTTATTGTCTTTCTTGTTTTAAAGAGGACAAATAAATGACAATAAGATGCATTGTTTTCGGGAGGAAAGTGAGAAAAAGTGTTTTCAGGCATTGGGTTTTGAAATTGTGTGTAAAAAATGGTGACAAAAAAATTACGAAATTTTGAAATTGAAGGTTTATCGTATTTTTATACTATGAATTTATATCGATTATAACAGTGGTAAAATTGTAAAAATTTGAAATTTCTGGAAAATCTATTACATATTTTAGATTGATAATTAATTACCGGATCATAAAAACACTTACCTTGATAATTACCGAAATATGCGTATTACCAAAATATTATCAACCTCGGTAAAAAAAATTCATAAAAATTCAATGAAAATTTAACTTGAATAATCCGAAAATAGGGAAAATATCCAAACCCTCGGCAAAAAATATGCAAATTTCCCAATTAAATTGCCAACGTACTAAACACCAAGTTATATATTTGCATACCGGAAACTCTACCAAACTAAGTTAAACCCAATTACAAATCTAATAAATAACAACATACTAAACAATAATCTACAAAAAATTCAATTTTCGTCGCTGTTCCTTCTCCAAAATTTTTGTATAAATAAAATTTACTATAAAACTCTTTAACTAAAAAAAGTACGAAGTTACCAAAATCATTCCCACACACATCACTTGAACAATTCACATCATCTCCTAATTTAATTAATGCAAGTTGTATTTTTTCAAAATATTTTCGAAACTCGGCATGGCATGAATCCCCCCAAAAAATTATTACGTACGTATGTCCCAACTTTTCGGGAGGGCTGTCCTTCTCACTTGACTCACATTCACGTAACGAAAATGTGTACATATCTTTTTCTTGATGCACTCTTTTCCTCGTAAACTTTTACTTGTTGTATGTGTTCCTACGTACGTACGTAATAACTAAGTGTTGGTTTGGTTGGTTGTTGGAGTCGTCGTCGTGGTAAAAATTATTTGGTGTTCTCAGATTCTGAGCCAGCCAGCCAGCCAGCCAGCTAGCCAGGCAGGCAGGCAGTCAGTCAGTCAATACGATTGAGGCAAATATAGTCGGTCGGTTGGTTGGTCTTCTTTCACTACATAATCCAACTCCACTTGCCACATTGCCTCATTCCGAGAACAACTCTGGCATTACGTGGTGGATGCAGATAGATTTCAATTCGAGGTTAAAAAATACAGAGTGAGAATTTTTATGGAAAATGAAATAAGAGAAGAAAGTTAGATAAGATAAGAGTGAAATTGTTGAGTTTCAGTTTTTGGGAAATTTTGGATTTGGTAAAAAAGTTAAAAGTTAAAAAAGTGAGACGAAGAGTAAAATATTGTAACGTTTTTGTGGAGTGGACTTGTAAAATAGTTACGAAAGAGAGTTAATTTCGAAAGAAATTTGATATTTTGAACAAGTTTGTTGAACTTGGTGGTGAAGAATTTTCGGAAATATTGCTGATTGTTAAAGAAAGGATTGATAATTAAGAAAGTTTGTTTTGAGACAAAGAAATTGAGAGAAAGTTGAAATTTTCTCAAAGTGCCCCAAAAGTGAGATTCTCCTCAGTTTCTCAAAAACGGTGAAAGTTTGAGTTTTGAAGGGGTGAAAATCACTTTAAGAAAACGAGGACAAGGTTTTTCAAGAAAAATTAAGAAAAAACTGGGTGAAAACATGCCTCGTATTTTTAAATGCGTCGTAAAATCTACATAATTTTCTCCAAAAGAATGTTTACATACCGATAAATAAAAGTGTGTGAAACAAAAGATAACGTGTTATCCACCCTGCCTCCCACCCACGGAGAGAAGGTAACCTAGATGCGATTACATTTCTCCGGTGGAGAGAGAAAGTCCGGAAATTGGGTGAATTTTGTGGCTACCATGCGAAGAAAGTCGTCTCATCTCTTCGGGGAGAAATAATAATACCCGGATTGTACCCACTATTCTACTACCCGGATACCTTTCCTACCCGGTCTTTTCGGGGATGATAATGTTTCCCCCACAATTTTAACTTCCCTCAGAAACATAAAGTGCGTTTTTTCAAAAAACTCAAAAATCATGAGCTCCTACCAATTCGTAAACTCTCTCGCCGCCTGTTACAACACTTCCGGCGGGGTTGGTGGCGGGGGTACTGGAAACCCGGGCAATCCCCGCGGCGGGGGCCCCATCCTTGACCCCTCTGTCGCCGCTGCCGCCGAATATTACGGCGGGGGCGGGGGAGGAAATGGCGGGACTGGATATTCGAACTGTTACTCCCCCCAAATTCCCCCAGGTCCCGGTCCCGGGGGAAATTATTACGGGGGAAGTGGGGGTACCGTATCTCCCCCAGTGATGAACGGGGTGGATTTCCGCAGCGGGGTGGTCAGTCCGTTGGGTGCGGCGGCGTCCTGTAAATATGCGAGCGGACCCGTGAATAATAACAACTTGCCGGGCACCCAAAATCAGAATGTGGGCGGTGTCGGCGGCGGCCCCCTGCAAGAAGCGAGTTTGGCGTCCCCACAAGATTTGACAACCGGATCGGGCGCAAGTTCGGGGGGGAGTTCGTGTTCCACGCCGCATCGAAGTCCGATCGCGGGCGGAGGAGGAAAAGTCAATTCTCAGTCGAATAATAATTCTTCCTCGAATTCCGCGACGAGTCCGCAGGGTGGAGGGGGAGGAGGGGGAGGGGGGAGTGGAGGGTCGAAGGGGAATCCTCCACAGATCTATCCATGGATGAAGAGGGTGCATCTAGGCCAAAGTAAGGAAATAAAATATAGTTTGTTCGTTTTTTAAGGGGATTTTTAAAATATAAAATTTGGTTTATTGGGGGTACGGGTTTCAAATTCGGGTGAAAGTTGTTGAGAAAACGAGAGGAATTTGTGTCTTTTACTTGTTGAAAGGTGGATTTTTGGAAGAATTTAAAGTGTTATGCAGTCATGGGAAAAATTTGAGGTGGAATTGTGGAGAGATATTAGAGATTATGTAAGAAAATTCGTATTTCTGAGAGTGGAATGAAAATTTTTTAGACGAATTTGTGCACGTCTTATTTGTAGAAGTTCGAATTTTTTAAATTGGACAAAGTTTAAAAAGTGGTTGAGGAAAATTAGAGGTGGAACTTTCAGAGAATTTAGGAAAATTTGTAGTTTTACGAGTGGAAGAAAATTTTGACCATGAAGTGTTAAAACGTTTGTGAAAATTGTAGATTTAACGAAAATTTACAGGATTTAGGAAAATTTGTATTTTTAAGAGGGGAAATTGGTGAAAATTTAAATCTGATTTAGAAAAGAGTCATGGAAAATTTTGAATTTTGAAAGTACTTTTTTGTGTTAATTGTAACTTTGGTGTTAAAAATTATGGAGAAAATCGAGATTTTCCAAACTTTTATTTTCCAATAAAAATTGTTTCACATTAAATCCGTTAATAGTTTTAACATAAATTTAAGATGTAAATTAAACTAGTTAGATGGATTTGGGGAAATTAGCTTCATGGAATTAAAAACGCAGCAAAACCAGGTTGAAGACAAATCACACTGTGTGAGATAGCTGGAAACGATCCGATTTCAATTATTTGATATCAATTATTTGTTATTCACAAATGTGAGGTCAGATTTTGACACATTTTTACAATTCAGATCAACAACAAATGTCATAAGAACAGATTTAAAATCGCATCCATCAAAATGCATTTACGCAGAAGGAATTGATAAGATTGAGTAGAAATTGTGTCTTCACGACTGAATAACATGATATTTTGAATAGTTCGTTGTATTGGATGTTTGTAAATATTTGGTGGGCGAGGGTATTGACGTGGAATTTGTGAAGTGCGCAAAATTCTGGAAAGTTTATTTGAAGACAAAATTTGTGGTAGACAAAATCTTGTTGACAGAGTTTTTCGACAATTTTTCGTAATTTTATAAATGTTTGTATGAACGAATTTATGCGTTTTAAGTGTCTGGATAAAAATTTTGCAACAATTTACAAATTTATATGATCTACGTGTTATAAATTCACGTGGTCTTTAGTAACTTTGTAAAATCCGTAAATTCCGTAAACTTACAGACTTTTACGAAGTATTTCTGAGGAAAATTAGCTTTAAAAATTTGTGTAAACATACTAACAGGAAGACCGTTTTTATATTTGTTGAAGTTTATAAAATTAATTTGTAAAACTTACCGACCGATTATACAAAGTTTCCAACGATAGCGTGAATCTCCTGAATACCTAGAAATCTGTGTAAATTTGGTCTAAATTATGCTTTTAGTTTCTGTATAAATGATTTATCTATGTATCCACCAGGTTGGAAAGATTACGAAGGAAATTCAGGTTCCAGATAGAATCTGTTCAAATCTACATGCTTTCCAGTTTTGTAACATGATTTCCTTCATAATCTTTGTAAACAGGATAAATTTACGAAATTTATGTTACAAACAATATTTTCCATAATTATTGCAATGCATTTTTTCTGTCAAACTTGAAACTAATAACTCTAAACTTAACTCTAATTAATACTTAAAAAATCCTGATTTTCTTTCGTAATCTTTTCGAAAATTAGTAAAAACGGAGAAAACTTGCGAAATTGAACGTGCTACAAAACCCTCTGATGAATTATTTTTTATTTATTTTTCTTAATTAATTAAAACTTTACTTGTTGATCGTTCTCAACTCATCGCACAAACATCGTAAATGATTTAGTCCACTATTGTCCACTTAAGACAAGATTTACTCCGAGTAGAACAAAACAATGGGTGTAAAAAAGGTGATAAAACTCGGCACAAGTATTTATTACAGGAGGGCACAAGTTACTTATGTCGTAATATATTATGATCACAGGGTGGATATGTATTTACGAAAAATCACTGAACTATGTATTAAATATTTACGAAAGAAAACGCCAAAATATTTACCAAACACGAACGAAAACACAAAAAACTACGAAATTTCACAAAATTTCTAGATATTTTCTTATCTTTTCAATCTTCTGAATTTTTTTTTGATCTAATTGCTTTGCTCAAAAATAATTTCGTCTCACAGTTGAAATATTTACAAATCATATGCATATTTTTAAAAACATATGCAAAAAATGTACATATTTTTAAAATTATACCTGAATTATTTATAAGTCTGAAACCTAGAAATATGAAACAATATGTGAAAATATTTTGAAATTTTTGCGCGTTAGAGGACACACCCACAAAATTTGACCATCGATCGTCATCAAATTTTCAAAAAACTTCAAATAAAACATGCAAATAAATTTTGCAAATGAAATTGCCAATAATATCTGAGAAAACGTGTGAAAATATGTGAAAATATTATGAAGTTTGACCATTTAATTTTTAAAAAATTGAATAAACAACCGCCCTCTGCACATTATGATGTCACACTCATAAAATGCCGGCATGTTTTGTGTGTACCTATCTCCTCCGCTATAATAAATCAATTAGCCCGAGAAGAAACACCGAAAAAGCAGCAGCACACCACACCACATGCGAAATGAGGATTGATATATGTACGAGAGAATCACACAGATTAGAGATTTGCATCTCGATTTTTTATAAACTGCACTACATTTCGTGTCGCGAAAAGTTTCCCATCTCATCGCGACAGAAAGAGTGCGAGAGAACCGGAACCGGGTTATTTTTGGTTGGGTGGGACGCGACATGGAAATGATTTAAAAATAGGCAATTTGTTGTGAGAGAATCTCAAGTTGGGAAAATCATCCGATGAAAAAAACAAAAAAACATGTGGGTTTGATCAAAGGGAAAAAATAATTAAGAGAAAAATTATCAAGTTGTAAAGTTATTAAGATGAAAATGCGTACTGGGAACTTTCGTAATTTTCGGGAATATTGAAAAATTAATCGAAACGAACAACAATGACGCTGTACATACTTATGATGAGATCTAATTCAATTTTTTATTTTGCGTAAAAGTCTGAAAAATTAATAGTGTCGCGAAACATATGCTAAAAATTGGCGAATAATTTATCGAAAAATCTGATTTAAAAGAGATATAGAAAGAAAAACTAGTGAATTTTATATTACAGGTGAAATAATGTGGCAATTCACGCAGGTCTTGGTAACTTTGTAAAACCCGTAAATTTACAAACTTTTACAAAATTTTAGAAATATTTCGAAAGAAAATTAGCTCCCAAATTTTTGTAAACTTGTTCAGATCAAGGGCGTCTCTTTAGTTTGGAAAAGTTTGTAAAATTATTTTACAAAACGTACGAATTTGCAAATTTATCAAAGATTTGCGTTAATTGCCTCAATATTTGTAATCTTTGTAATTTATTTGGGTACATTGAAAAATTTTGACTTAAATCAGTTCATACAAAGTGACGAAGGTGTAAAAGCATCTTGCTACAAACTTCTTTTTGTGAAAAACTTTGAAAAATTAAGGTTGTCGCGAAATATGTACAAGTTTAAGAAATTATTAGTGTAATAAAATGTTGACGCGTAACGCGATGTTGTTCAAATAAGAGTTGAGGGGAGTTTTGAGAAACTGTAACTAACCAGAAACGTAGGATTTAATTTTAAATTAAACATCTGTCTTAAATTTTTTGAAAGAAAATATTATCAAAAAAATTTCAAATTTGTTCCGAGAGAGAAAAAAGCTGGCTTAAGAAAGACATGGATTCGATTTAAAGAAAGTCACAATTCTTGTAACCAAAATGCGCTTCGTGATTAAAATATATGTAGACGCGTAACCTTCATAAATTGGGTTTGGGGAATGTTGAGAAACTTTTTAAATGCTCATTGTAAAATTATGACAATTACTAAATTGTGTTTAATATTGGTTATAGTGTAATGTACAAAAGGGCTGATTTTTTTGTGCATGGAGAAAATACGTATACGAGAGAAATTTTTCAAATTTAGGAAATATTTACAAAATTTGATTAGAAATTAGTTGAAAACAAGTATTACACCTTTGTTACGAATTATCTTCGTTAAAACTTTAAAAAATGAAAATGTCGTGAAATATTTACAATTTTGTGACAAATTTAGTCCAAGTTGTTAAATATGTGAAGAAAAACATGGGGATTTGATTAAGTAAAAAGATAATGATAAGATTTGAAAAATATTTGACATCATCGGCAAATCTTGATAAGCATTTTATATTGGTAAGACTTTAAAAATTGACACAGACGCGAAATATTTACAAGTTTGTGAGGTCAAAAGTTAAAATAGTTTACGCAATTTGTCCTGAATATCTCGAGTACAAAGTTGTACGATAAGATCTTGTTTAGCAAATTGTACCATAATGACAATTAAATTCACGCAGTCATTGGTAACTTCGTAAAATCAGTGCGTTTTGTAAAATAATTTTACATAATAAAGAGACGCCCTTGATCTGAGGCAGTTTATAAAATTTGGAAGCTAATTAATTTTCCACAGAAATATCTGCAAAAAAGTTTGTAAGTTTGCTGAATTTACGGATTTTATAAAGTTACAAAGGCCTGCGTGAATCACATCAATGGGTTAATTTAAAATTTATTATTTGTAATAAAAAAAATTCCCTGATTTTACATACAACGTTTACCACGTTATGAAAAAGTTTGTAAATTTACGAATTTTGCCAAGGACTGAAAAACATGTACTTTTGCTATATTGTGCGAGGGAGAACCAAAATATTGTTAAAACTGGGTTAAAATTGATTAAATTTTTGTAATCAACTTTGTCCCTGATTTTACAACAACGTTTACTACATTACAAACCCGGGAGTGAATGAGTTATGTGAAAATAAAGTGTCGCAGAACA